TAATGTAGCTTATAACAACACGTGACCTACAGGTGTACTTGTAATGTAGCTTATAACAACACGTGACCTACAGGTGTACTTGTCATGTAGCTTATAACAACACGTGACCTACAGGTGTACTTGTAATGTAGCTTATAACAACACGTGACCTACAGGTGAAATTGTTCTTGTGTTCAGGGTATAATGACATTATAATAGAAGAGTGTAATTGTGCTTTTATTACAGATGTGAAAAGTGACTTACAGGTGTAAATTTAATTGTGTTACAGGTGTGACATGTGATATTCAGGTGTAAATTTAAATGTGTTATAGGTGTGACCTGTGACATTCTGGTGTTGATTTAATTGTGTTACAGGTGTGACATGTGACATACAGGTGTAAATCTAACTGTGCTATAGGTGTGACAAGTGATATGCAGGTGTAATTTTTTATTGTGTTACATATGAGACATACAGATGTAAATTAAATTTTGTAACAGGTGTGACAAGTAACATACAGGTGTAAATTTGATTGTGTTACAGGTGTGACAAGTGACTTATACATCTGTAGGTGTAAATTTAATTATGTTACAGGTGTGACAAATGACTTATAGGTGTAAATTTAATTATGTTACAGGTGTGACATGTGACATACAGGTGTAAATTTAATTTTGTAACAGGTGTGACAAGTGACATACAGGTGTAAATTTAATTGTGTTACAGGTGTGACAAGTGACTTATAGATGTAAATTTAATTGTTACAGGTGTGACAAGTGACTTATAGGTGAAAAGTATAATTGTGTTCAGGTGTGACATATGGCAGACAGGTATAGATTTAATTGTGTTACAGGTGTGACATGTGACATACAGGTGTAAATTTAATTTTGTAACAGGTGTGACAAGTGACATACAGGTGTAAATTTAATTGTGTTACAGGTGTGACAAGTGACTTATAGTTGTAAATTTAATTGTGTTATAGATGGGACAAGTGACCTACAGGTAAAAATGTAATTTTGTTGCAGATGTGAAAATGTGACCAAAGTATATAGGTGTAAAAGTTTCAAACAGGTGTGACAATGTGATGTGTATATACAGGTGTGACAAGGGTAATTTACATGTGTTTATATTTGTATGTTACAGGTAGACGAGGCTATGGTGGAAGTTCTGGTCTAGGTAGCTATGGCACTGGGTACAGTAACTACACATTTACCCTCCCCAGCAATGGATATACAGGTAAAATACTGTCAAACTACACATTTCCCCTCCCCAGCAATGGATACACAGGTAAAATACTGTCAACCTACACATTTACCCTCCCAAGCAATGGATACACAGGTACAATACAGTCAAACTACACATTTACCCTCCCCAGCAATAGATACACACGTAAAATACAGTCAAACTACACATTTCCCCTCCCCAGCAATGGATACACAGGTAAAATACTGTCAACCTACACATTTACCCTCCCAAGCAATGGATACACAGGTACAATACAGTCAAACTACACATTTACCCTCCCCAGCAATGGATATACAGGTAAAAAACTGTCAAACTACACATTTACCCTCCCCAGCAATGAATACACAGGTAAAATACAGTCAAACTACACATTTTCCCTCCCCATCAATGGATATACAGGTAAAATACAGTCAAACTACATATTTACCCTCCCCAGCAATGGATACACAGGTAAAATACTGTCAACCTACACATTTACCCTCCCAAGCAATGGATACACAGGTACAATACAGTCAAACTACACATTTACCCTCCCCAGCAATGAATACACAGGTAAAATACAGTCAAACTACACATTTACGCTCCCCAAGCAATGGATATAAACAGGTAAAATACTGTCAAACTACACATTTACCCTCCCAAGCAATGGATACACAGGTACAATACAGTCAAACTACACATTTACCCTCCCCAAGCAATGGATATACAGGTAAAATACTGTCAAACTAAACATTTACCCTCCCCAGCAATGGATACACAGGTAAAATACAGTCAAACTACACATTTACGTTCCCCAAGCAATGGATATACACAGGTAAAATACTGTCAAACTACACATTTACTCTCCCCAGCAATGGATACACAGGAAAAATACAGTCAAACTACACATTTACCATCCCCAGCAATAGATACACACGTAAAATACTGTCAAACTAGACATTTACCCTCCCCAGCATTGGATACACACGTAAAATACAGTCAAACTACAGTCAAACTACACATTTCCCCTCCCCAGCAATGGAAATACAGGTAAAATACAGGCAAACTACACATTTACTCTCACCAGCAATGGATATACAGGTAAAATACAGTCAAACTACACATTTACTCTCCCCAGCAATGGATATACAGGTAAAATACAGTCAAACTACACGTGGCCACTTGTGTGGAGAGAATACAAAATTGATTGGACACTCGTTATGAGTTGTAGAAGAAAACTGTTGTAAGGTTTTCATGAAATTACTTTGATATCATTGGCTTTTTAAATAAATGCTTGTTATCATGGTTAGTGAAGTGTTGGTTATCTTGAAGTTAAATGCTTACATGGTCAGTTCAATGTTTGTTTCAGGGCCAGCTCTAGGCAGCTACAGCAGTGGTCTATCCACATACAACGCAATGTCACGATATGGCCGATCATATGACAGCAGCTACACCCCACGCAACTACGATTCATCATCAAGGTCATATGATGTCGGGTCAAGGTCACGTGACCTTGGAGCGTCCTCTAGATATGACACCTCCTCATCAACTGGGAGTTATGGTAGCGACTTGAGTCGTCAGTATGGAACAGACTGTAATCTGGAAAGTGGGCAGGGCTACGACAGTGGGCGTGGTCTGGATAGTGGGAGGAGTTATGACACGTCAGGCCCGTCCAGTTACGACTCGCGCGGATACATTAGCCCACGTACGGGGAGCTCAGATCTAGGGTACAGCTCATCGTTGAGGTAATTAAAGTGCTTTTTTTTTTTAATCTGTAAAATCAAGCACTTCAGTTTTTAGTAAAGTTTTCTATACACACTGCAATTATGCATATAGGTGTCAAATATTTCTAATCAGTGTGTTTTATGTCAAATAATTACACTCCAATGCCTTCCTAATAAGCATGTCACCATTTGTTAGGTGTGATATTAAATTGCAAGCAATCAGATACTAAAATTTCAGTGTTTAATGCCATATTTATCACTCAATTTAGTTTGAAAATTTGTTATTCATAACAGAAAATTAATTAATAAAAGACTGTTTTATTTTCACTTACTTGGCCAGTAGTACCTTATAAGAGCTCATATAGCAATCATCAGCTGGAATAAAGTTTTTCTTCAATGACTTCTTCTTGAGATCCATGAGGTGTGGGGTCTGGATTTTATGTCTGTACTTAATAAAGTGGAACACTGTCAAGTTTATTAAAAAAACAACCTTGAGCCACTGACTGCTCTAAACAGCCTGTTCTTAAATCTACAAAAACGGTTTCTTCTGAAGAACCATGAGGTTCAGGGTCAATGTATTTAACCATCAGCTTGCTTTACAAAAAGGACTTGCAACTGGCAAGTCTGTGTAAGTGAATGACGAAGACCCATATTGAAGGTCATAGAGGCTAGATAGGTTGAAATTTAAAATGACATATTTTCTTCTGTGTAAGTGAATGACGAAGACCCATATTGAAGGTCATAGAGGCTAGATAGGTTGAAATTTCAAATGACATATTTTCTTCTGTGTAAGTGAATGACGAAGACCCATATTGAAGGTCATAGAGGCTAGATAGGTTGAAATTTCAAATGACATATTTTCTTCTGTGTAAGTGAATGACGAAGACCCATATTGAAGGTCATAGAGGCTAGATAGGTTGAAATTTCAAATGACATATTTTCTTCTGTGTAAGTGAATGACGAAGACCCATATTGAAGGTCATAGAGGCTAGATAGGTTGAAATTTCAAATGACATATTTTCTTCTGTGTAAGTGAATGACGAAGACCCATATTGAAGGTCATAGAGGCTAGATAGGTTGAAATTTCAAATGACATATTTTCTTCTGTGTAAGTGAATGACGAAGACCCATATTGAAGGTCATAGAGGCTAGATAGGTTGAAATTTCAAATGACATATTTTCTTCTGTGTAAGTGAATGACGAAGACCCATATTGAAGGTCATAGAGGCTAGATAGGTTGAAATTTCAAATGACATATTTTCTTCTGTGTAAGTGAATGACGAAGACCCATATTGAAGGTCATAGAGGCTAGATAGGTTGAAATTTAAAATGACATATTTTCAAGAACCACTGTGCTCAAGGTCATGATAATTGGTTTGTAAGTTGGACATGAATTGTTATTTTTGTTAACCTTTTCACCCCCATGTAACTTTAATAAACTCTACCATGTATTTCTTGCGATGGGTCCATTATGGTCTAAAGTAGTGAAAGAGTGAAAATAAACCTACATTTAACACCAATGTTAGAACAAAGAAACGATACAGGCTTCTAAGGCCTTTTGCTTAAAATGAATAAAGATTGGGGATAACTATTGCTTTTCTTTTGCTGGTGTATGTGTCGGAGAAAAGAGAAATAGTTATGTCTATAAAAGGTCATTTCCATAGTCACTTGTAAAAGCTAGTAATCACTTAGCATATCTGGTTGTCCATTTTCTAAAACACTTCTTAATTTATTTTTAAAAAAAATGTGTATGTTTTTTAGCTTTCAGCATTTAGCATAAACTGAACCAAGGACTGTGTCTTGTTTCTCATACAGATACACACTATAAATACTTGTGAAAATTTCAGACCCTTTTGGCCTCTTGATTTTATTGAAATCCTTTTCATATTTGGAAAAAACAGGATTAAATTTCAAAATTTTGAACAAGTCTGATCACACAGTATAATTGACCTTAACATTCACTCTGATGTTGATCAGTAGGTTAATTGTATTCGACCCTATGTAGATGTTTTTAAAGCCGTGCCCTACCAGGAGGAGGGTACTGTTAGGATAGATCTGGAGATAAGCCTGCTGACATGAGATGTATACAAATAGTACAGGAAAGGAAATCACTGTAAAACTTTATTACAGCCATAAAACTTGACTTGATGTCAACATTAAATTACGGGCAATTAACATATGAAAGCACTTACAAGGTTTTTTTGGTCATCTTTCTGTTTGATTGCTCGATGACAGAATGATATCAAACATAACATGAGTCGTTTAGTGCATAGCAATAAGTTCAAATGTATACACAACAATGTCGTATTTAAATAAAGTATACATCTCTACCTCACAAGTTGAAGAGTTCTGAATTGATTTACGATATTTCAATTAATATGGCTGACATACTTGAATTAATGTTCAGTATTTTATTGTTTAAATCCTCGTTAGATTTTCTAATGTATACAGATTGTATCAAACCTTAATCCAATAGAAATTCATTTCACTTGACACATTTTTGAAGAGAATCTTGATGCAAGTTGAATTGTTATTCATTGAAATTCATCATCAATATGCAATGTTATCTGTAAAAATATTTCTCCACTGTGTGAAGCTATGTAGTTTCTTGCTGATGTAATTATCATTAGATGATATGGTTCAGTGAATACTTTTTTTCTTTGACACAATGATGTGTCTTTGTAAAGGTCACTTTGACACAATGATGTGTCTTTGTAAAGGTCACCTTGACACAATGATGTGTCCCTGCTCAAGTAACCTTCCCACAGTAGTGTTCCCTGCTCAAGGTCACCTTCCCACAGTCGTGTTCATGATGTGTCCCTGCTCAAGCAACCTTCCCACAGTAGTTTTCTCTGCTCATTTCACCTTCCCACAGTAGTTTTCCCTGCTCAAGGTCACCTTGCCACAGTAGTGTTCTCTACTGATGTGTCTTTGTAAAGGTCACTTTGACACAATAATGTGTCTTTGTAAAGGTCACTTTGACACAATAATGTGTCTTTGTAAAGGTCACTTTGACACAATGATGTGTCTTTGTAAAGGTCACTTTGACACAATGATGTGTCTTTGTAAAGGTCACTTTGACACAATAATGTGTCTTTGTAAAGGTCACTTTGACACAATGATGTGTCTTTGTAAAGGTCACCTTGACACAATGATGTGTCCCTGCTCAAGTAACCTTCCCACAGTAGTTTTCTCTGCTCATTTCACCTTCCAACGGTAGTGTTCTCTGCTCAAGTCTCCTTCCCACAGTAGTGTCCCCTGCTCAAGGTCACCTTCCACAGTAGTGTTCTCTCTTCTCAACATCATCTTTCCACAATAGTGTTCTCTACTCAACATCACCTTCCCACAGAAGTGTTCTCTGCTCAAGTCACCTTCCCACAGTAGTGTTTTCTGCTCAAGGTCACCTTCCCACAGTAGTGTTCTCTACTCATCACCTTCCCACAAAAGTGTTCCCTGCTCAAGTCACCTTCCAACAGTAGTGTTCTCTGCTCAAGGTCACCTTCCCACAGAAGTGTTCTCTGCTCAAGTCACCTTCCCACAGTAATGTTCTCTGCTTTAGTCACCTCCCCACAGTAGTGTTCTCTACTCAATATCACCTTCCCACAATAGTGTTCCCTGCTCAAGGTCACCTTCCCACAATAGTGTTACCTGCTCAAGGTCACCTTCCCACAGTAGTGTTCCCTGCTCAAGGTCACCTTCCCACAGTAGTGTTCTCTGCTCTAGTCACCTCCCCACAGTAGTGTTCTCTACTCAATATCACCTTCCCACAATAGTGTTCCCTGCTCAGGGTCACCTTCCAACAATAGTGTTACCTGCTCAAGGTCACCTTCCCACAGTGGTGTTCTCTGCTCAAGTCACCTTCCCACAGTAGTGTTCTCTGCTCAAGGTCACCTTCCCACAATAGTGTTCCCTGCTCAATGTCACCTTCACACAGTAGTGTTCTCTCTACTCAACATCATCTTTCCACAATAGTGTTCTCTACTCAATATCACCTTCCCACAGTAGTGTTCCCTGCTCAAGTCTCCTTCCCACAGTAGTGTTCTCTGCTCAAGGTCACCTTCACACAATAAAGTTCCCTGCTCAAGGACATCTTCCCACAGTGGTGTTCTCTGCTCAAGGTCACCTTCCCACAGTAGTGTTCCCTGCTCAAGGTCACCTTCCCACAATGGTGTTACCTGCTCAATGTCACCTTCCCACAGTAGTGTTCTCTGCTCTAGTCACCTCCCCACAGTAGTGTTCTCTACTCAATATCACCTTCCCACAATAATGTTCCCTGTTCAAGGTCACCTTCCCACAATAGTGTTACCTGCTCAAGGTCACCTTCCCACAGTGGTGTTCTCTGCTCAAGTCACCTTCCCACAGTAGTGTTCCCTGCTCAAGGTCACCTTCACACAATGGTGTTACCTGCTCAATGTCACCTTCCCACAGTAGTGTTCTCTCTTCTCAACATCATCTTTCCACAATAGTGTTCTCTACTCAATATCACCTTCCCACAATAGTGTTCCCTCCTCAAGGTCACCTTCCCACAATAGTGTTATCTGCTCAAGGTCGCCTTCCCAGAGTAGTGTTCCCTGCTCAAGGTCACCTCCCACAGTAGTGTTCTCTGCTCTAGTCCCCTCCCCACAGTAGTGTTCTCTACTCAATATCCCCTTCCCACAATAATGTTCCCTGTTCAAGGTCACCTTCCCACAGTAGTGTTACCTGTACAAGGTCACCTTCCCACAGTAGTGTTCCCTGCTCAATGTCACCTTCCCACAGTAGTGTTCTCTCTTCTCAACATCATCTTTCCACAATAGTGTTCTCTACTCAATATCACTTTCCCACAGTAGTGTGCCCTGCTCAAGGTCACCTTCCCACAGTGGCGTTCTCTGCTCAAGTCACCTTCCCACAGTAGTGTTCCCTGCTCAAGGTCACCTCCCACAGTAGTGTTCTCTGCTCTAGTCCCCTCCCCACAGTAGTGTTCTCTACTCAATATCCCCTTCCCACAATAATGTTCCCTGTTCAAGGTCACCTTCCCACAATAGGGTTACCTGCTCAAGGTCACCTTCCCACAGTGGCGTTCTCTGCTCAAGTCACCTTCCCACAGTAGTGTTCTCTGCTCAAGGTCACCTGCCCACAATAGTGTTCCCTGCTCAAGGTCATCTTCCCACAGTGGTGTTCTCTGCTCAAGTCACCTTCCCACAGAAGTGTTCCCTGCTCAAGGTCACCTTCCAACAGTAGTGTTCTCTGCTCAAGGTCACGGTCACACAATAGTGTTCCCTGCTCAATGTCACCTTCCCACAGTAGTGTTCTCTGCTTAAGGTCACCTTCCCACAATAGTGTTCCCTGCTCAAGGTCATCTTCCCACAGTGGTGTTCTCTGTTCTCTGCTTTAGTCACCTCCCCACAGTAGTGTTCTCTACTCAATATCCCCTTCCCACAATAGTGTTCCCTGCTCAAGGTCACCTTCACACAATGGTGTTACCTGCTCAATGTCACCTTCCCACAGTAGTGTTCTCTGCCCTAGTCCCCTCCCCACAGTAGTGTTCTCTACTCAATATCACTTTCCCACAGTAGTGTTCCCTGCTCAAGGTCAGCTTCCCACAATGGTGTTACCTGCTCAATGTCTCCTTCCCACAGTAGTGTTCTCTGCTCAAGGTCACCTGCCCACAATAGTGTTCCCTGCTCAAGGTCCCCTTCCCACAATAGTGCTACCTGCTCAAGGTCACCTTCCCACAGTCGTGTTCCCTGTTCAAGGTCACCTTCCCACAGTAGTGTTACCTGTACAAGGTCACCTTCCCACAGTAGTGTTCTCTGCTTAAGGTCACCTTCCCATAATAGTGTTCCCTGCTCAAGGTCACCATCCGACAGTAGTGTTATCTTCTCAAGGTCACCTTCCCTCATTAGTGTGTTCCCTGCTCAAGGTCACCTTCCCACAGTAGTGTTCTCTGCTTAAGGTCACCTTCCCACAATAGTGTTCCCTGCTCAAGGTCACCATCCGACAGTAGTGTTATCTTCTCAAGGTCACCTTCCCTCATTAGTGTTCTCTGCTCACGGCACATACAAATAGCTTTGTCTGTGCTCAAGGTCAATTTGACACATTAGTGTGTCTGTTGAAAGTCATCTAGACAGCGATGTGTCAATGAAAGACCAAGAGTTGAAATTGTTTGACATTTGAGTGAAAAAGACCTAACTCCATGTTGAATGACTAGTATGTGTTGTCACATTGCAATTGTTTATTACATATGAGTCAAGGGCAGGTCAGATGAATATCAGAACACTTTTCTTTAAAACAATAATTAAAACATTTCCATATCTTTCAAAATCAGGCTTGTCATTTTTCCTGTAAACACAAATATCTAAATTTGATTCTGTTTCTGTGGTTTTTTCAGGTACGGCCGAAGTGACTACTCTGACAGATCAACAGATGTAACTTTAAGAGACAAACCAAAGGAAGAGGATCCTGACCCTCCTGGGGTTCGGCGGCGATATCAGGGGTCAAAGTTCAAGGATCAGGATGCACCATTAGGTCAAAATCATGGCGTCAACAAGGATGACGACTTAGCATTGTACAAGGCATCTTATCGCAGATATCGTGATTCCTACGGCGAGGAGGACAAATCAGATTCTGACCGTGGATCTTTAACTTCTTCTCGTAGGGAATCGGAGGAAAGGGACCCAATAGCAGAAATAAAACGCAAGTACCAGCGTAAGAAACCTGACACTATAAGTGAAAATGAAGCAACTCTTTCGCTTTCAAAGACCGATAAAGTTGAGCCATCTCAAAGTGCATTAATGGACAGGTTAGGGTCAAGTGGTCAGAGTTTTTTATCTCCGAAGGGCGGGGTTCAAAGGTCACAGAGTGAAAGAGATGCTAAAGCTGATCCAGTTGTAATGGAACAAACAGGAACAGTTGATGCTGAGGTGGACACGATGCCAATCTGGAGGAAGCGACGTCTCGAACGGGAACAAAGGCGGCGAGATTTTCTCGATATGAGTGAAAACAAATCGAAGGAAAGGGAAAAACTAAAGGAAGAAATTGAAAACCAGGAGAAAGACAGTGCATATTCATTGAAAAGTGAAAGTAGGATTGGTGACAAAAGTGAAAGTAAAACAGAGACAGCTAGAGATAGGTTGCAGCGATTGAAGGATGTAAAAATGCCTCCCAAAAGTTCTAGTGTTGACTCTGGGGAAGAGGGTACCTCACTGGACAGCAGTGAGGGAAAAAGGATGTTTAGTGCTGAAGCTATGAAAAAAATTCTTCTTCAAAGGGACAGTCCCCTCTTGAGGACAAAATATGCAGAGGCAAAACGGAAAAAAGAACTAGAAAAAGAAGGAAGTAGAGAGGAAACACCGATTCCTAGTACAGACATTAAAACTGATAAAAGAGAAAGTGTAATTTCGCCGCTATCCTTCAAAGCTGATAGAATTAAGGATTCTGAATTTTCAAGAACATCATCAAGGTTTGGGTCAACTCAAAGTCAGGAGTCGCCTCTTTCTTCTTTAGAAAAGAGGTATTCAGACAGAGAGTTGAAGGACTCATCTGCCTTAACTGACAGAACTACTTCAAGGCTAGGATCGGATTCTGATGGTAAGTCGTCACGATTAGGATCTGATAGTAAACCATTAACTCTGGAGCAAAGGATAGCAGCCAGAATTGGACAAGATTCCTATAAACCCTCTCCCAGAGGTGGCAGAGAGGAAATGACAACTATTCCTGATTCAAGAATAATCTCGCCTCTGAACAGGTCTCAGTCGGCTAGGGCACCCATAGATCACGATTTTGGAACTGACAAAATTTTACCTCAGACTGATCCCAAACTATCAAGTTCACTCAGTAGGAGTCACTCCTCAAGGGACGAGAAAGATGGATTCCGTTTAGGAATGGTGTCAGAAAAAAGATATCCCTCGAGAGATCCTTCTGACTCGAGTATCGGTGCAAGGTCTGTATCAGATACTCGATCAGTGTCTTCTTCCTCTTCCTTGGATATGAGGTCGGCATCCACATCGTCCATGGACGCAAAATTGAGGACTGCTTCAAGTTCTTCAGACACTTCCTCTGTTTTTGTAGATAATAAATATTCAGTTAAGCCAACTTTGTCTTCCATTGACCAAAAGTCATCAGAACGAAAACTGTCTTCCAGAGATGAACGAGAAAGGGAGTATGGTTCAACTAGTTACGGAACAAAGTCGACTGCTTCTTCAGATCTGAGGTCATCCAAAGTCGCTTCGCAAGCCGATCAACAGAAAACTGGAAGTATTATGTCTGATAAATATTTAGAGAGGAAGAAAATTGAAGATGTTCCTAAGGGGAGAGAATCTAATGACATGCGATCAAAGTATATGGATGTTTTGAAAACTTCTGAAATTACAAGTAAGAAGGTAGAGAGAAGCCTGGAGCAGGGTAAACAATTGGATAAAGAGCGTGTTACTGCCAAAAACGAATCAACTGCGGAAGCTCCAAGGCCTGTGCCTGCCGAAAGACTCTCAAAGAAGCTATCCACATCTTCTGTTTCTTCTGACAAAGCAGCAACTGTAATAGGGGAACAAGTTAAATCCCCAAGTGTTTCTTCAACAGAGGAAGTATCTGGGGAAGGAGAAAAACGTAAGAGTACGGAAATCAAACGACACAAAGGATTGAAAGAGAGACTACAGGAAAAGGACAAAATCCGATTGAAAATGTTAGAAAGTGTGAAACAAAAACAAGAACAAAAAGCTAAACTGGATGATAAAACTTCCGATATTGATGTGACAGTGACTGCTAAAGTTACGTCAGTTGATATTTCTGCAACAAATTCGAAAAATAATCAAGGCGTCAACGTCACACAGAGAAGCCTTCGTACAAACGTGTCTCAAAGTGGCATAGAGTCGAAACCCTCGCAGGAGACTGTAAGTGTTAGGACGAATATAGCATATAACAAGGACGTAACGTCAAGAAATTCATTCAAGTCGGACAATAGTACTAAACAACCAGACAAGAAAAATGCACAAAATCTTGACAGAACACCCTCATCAAAACAAAAAACTACGCCAAAAGTTGATATGAAAACAGCAACAAAAGTAGATACAAAATCAGCCACAAAAGTAAACACAGAAACAGCACCAAAAGTTGATCGTGAAATTACATCTGAAGGTCAAACAAAGGATGATGAGAGTATGAAAAGTCTAGAGGAAGCGCGCTGCATCAAACCAAGTGACTTGAAGTCCAGAAAAATCAAACATTATGTTAGGTCAAAGTCCAGCCATTTGCAGGAAGATGTGGTAAATGAGAGACCAGAAACTGAAGTAGAAAAGACACAGGAAGTTACTGAGTCTGGTCCCAAGGCACATCGACCATATGGCCAAATCAAGGCCAAGACCACGGATATTGCAAGTCTGCTTGATAAAGGTCAAGATGAAACGGTTTCCACCTCAAATGGCATCACAAAGGAAGAGGAAGTGGATAACCAGTCCAGCGCTGAGTTAAGTCGTATGGAACGAATTGCTCTGTACAAAGATGAACGTCGTCGTCAGCTTGCCTTTATTGCTGCTAAATTCGGCGATAGCGACAAAAAGAGTGATGATATCAAAATGTCAGAAATTGTGCCATCGCTATTTCACACCGCTGCAAGTCGAAATAATGGAAGCAACGAGGACATTTCAACACTGGCAAGGTCGCGAAGTGTAAAAGAGAGTTCCCCACAAAAAACTGTCCCGTCTATGATATCCCGATGTAGTAGTCTGCGGGATGGCTCCCCAAGGTTGACAGCAAGCCCCGAAAGAGATACACAAGACGGGAAAGCGTACCTTGCCAGTAAATTTTCCAAATTTCGAGAACGTTTCAATGAAGATGACATTTCCAACACAGCTGAAGAAGATGCACAAAGGAAGGCTGGACCTCCCGAAAAGGAGCTGTCTTCCCTTGAGATTAGACGTCAGCGTCTTCTTTACGGAGAGTCCCAGTTCGACAGTGGGAAGCTTCTGGCTGTAAAACCAGAAGAAAAATTGGAGAAACAAGACAGTACTGAAGATGACAAACCACTGAAGAGGAGGAGGCAGCTCCCTAATATTCCGGCTGCATTGGGAGGTACCCCAGATCCTCAGCTGTTTGATAAGGATGGTGAGGATGATACTGACTCTCCAGGTCAATCTTCTTCATCTTCAGGGCCATCACCAGCCACTGTGATTACTGCAAGCGGTGCTGAGGCTGTCCTAACAGATACATCTAAAGCTAAATCCGAATCTGTGGCTATAAAACCAACAATGTCACAACAATCTGAAACAGTGGCTACAAAACAAATGCTGCCTCACACTGTTAAATTAAGTGAAAAGGACACAGTGGAAGATAGTAAGAGGTCTTCCACACTAACAGTCCAACAAAACGTGGACAGTGTCAAAAGTTACGGACAAAAAGCCAAAACAGATCAGTCTACCAAGAAATCTCCGTATCAGAGATCGTCGGTGAGGAGCATACAGGAAATGTTGGGGGAGAAGCCAGAAGATTCAGGGAAGGAGTCTTCTGCTTCTGGAATCGAAACAGCTCCCCAACCCTCCGAGAGAAAAGTTACGTTGTCCAGTAGTGTTCAGAGGCAATCATCACTGGATAAAAAACAGGAAATACCAACGCAGAAAAGTGCATTGGAAGTGAAAACAGTGCAATCTAAGGTAACACAGGAGGCTGTGTCTCAGGATAAACAGAACATTTCTGTCGCAAAGGATGGATCTCAGAAACCAGTGACAGATCGCGTCAAGGATGGAACAACAGTAGTTAAGTCTCAACTTGTAACTAGTAAATCAAATAATTTGGAAGTGAAATCAGAAGCTTCTGATCAAACTGTTATTCCACCTTCAAAGCCACAGACTGCATCCACACGAAATGTTCAGCAGCCAGTGACAGTGCAGTCTAAAGCCAAAGACGTGAAACCAACGATGTCTGTCCAGTCTACTGCCAAAGACGTGAAACCAGTAGTGTCTGTTCAGTCTACTGCTAAAGATGTGAAACCAGTAGTGTCTGTCCAGTCTAAAGCTAAAGATGTGAAACCACTAGTGTCTGTCCAGTCTAAAGTTAAAGACGTGAAACCAGTAGTGTCTGTTCAGTCTACTGCTAAAGATGTGAAACCAGTAGTGTCTGTACAGTCTAAAGGTAAAGATGTGAAACCAGTAGTGTCTGTCCAGTCTAAAGCTAAAGATGTGAAACCAGTAGTGTATGTACAGTCTAAAGCTAAAGATGTGAAACCAGTAGTGTCTGTCCAGTCTAAAGCTAAAGATGTGAAACCAGTAGTGTCTGTACAGTCTAAAGTTAAAGATGTGAAACCAGTAGTGTCTGTCCAGTCTAAAGCTAAAGATGTGAAACCAGTAGTGTCTGTCCAGTCTAAAGTTAAAGACGTGAAACCAGTAGTGTCTGTTCAGTCTAAAGCTAAAGATGTGAAACCAGTAGTGTCTGTTCAGTCTAAAGCTAAAGACGTGAAACCAGTAGTGTCTGTTCAGTCTACTGCTAAAGATGTGAAACCAGTAGTGTCTGTCCAGTCTACTGCCAAAGACGTGAAACCAACAATGTCTGTTCATTCTACTGCCAAAGACATGAAACCAGTAGTGTCTGTCCAGTCTACTGCTAAAGATGTGAAACCAGTAGTGTCTGTACAGTCTACTGCCAAAGATGTGAAACCAGCAGTGTCTGTCCAGTCTACTACTAAAGATGTGAAACCAGCAGTGTCTGTCCAGTCTACTACTAAAGAAGTGAAACCAGTAGTGTCTGTTCAGTCTACTGCCAAAGATGTGAAACCAGTGGCATCTGTTCAGGCCTTGGAAGTCAACCAAGTGGCATCGTCAGTTAAGCCTATGGTATCCACAACTCAGATGCAGGTTAAATCTACTGAAGCCAAGAACGAGCAAAAGGTCCTTGCCTCTAGGAGAAGCCCCGACAAAAGGGTGATAGCTAGTGCCAAGGAGGTGGTGAGGTCCTCTGACCGGAAGACACCTTCACTGGAGGCAACAGAGGCCAAGGACAAAGTCTCACCTGTTTTGCCGGAACCAGATGATATCACAAAATCTTCAAAGGGTTCTCACAAATCTGTTAATTCTGGACAGGAGAAAGTACCTGTCAAAGCTAAAGCTGTATCAACAACAACAGTAAGTGTTTCAGCTAAGCAGATAGAGACAAAAACAATGGATTCATTTAAGAAAGGGAAGGACACTAGGTCTTCTCATGTACAGCCTCAAATGGTTGAGGCATCAGCCGTTCTGTCAAAACCTAAAGAGGGACCTAAGACATCTGGAATGGTTGAGACACCTTCTTCTACACAGCAATCTATACCTTCATCTGCCTCTTCACTGAATGAAGAAGAGAGTAAGACAATGTCCTCTAGGAGGTTAGAACGCAGTAGTAGTCGAGAAAGAAAGAGTGCGGAGCGACAAGTAGCCACGGATGCCAAGTTAAAATTAGAGGCTAGAATTCAGAAAAAAATGGAAGAAAGGGCAAGGCTACATGAGAGGGGACCAGAAAGAAAGTACCAGAAGCCCTCAGAGGGTGATAAGTCTCAAAGTGTGACAGCAACAGAACGCAAGCATGGGTCATCAGATGATAGCTCCTCTAAGGAAAAGGGTAGGAGCAGGCGAATGTTGAAGAAAACGGGGGAGAAAGCAGCAGAATACAGACGAAGTCGTTCTGTTGGGGAAAGGGATTCTAAATCTTCCCGAACTCCCTTCACAGGGAGGACTCCTGTCCAAAATGTTACTCCTTTGGACATTAAACAACTGCTAGCAAAGTCGCCTGACTTTAATCTCGATGATTTACTGATAGATAATGCAGAGTATTTATCCGACTCGGAGGTACTTGCCAAAGCAATGTCTAAGGAGGGTGGAAGTGATACGTCCAGGGATAAGAAGCCGGGATCTAAAGTGAAAAGGGTGTTACGCAAAAAAGATTGGCAACGGAGCAAATCCGATACGTCCCAGATGATGGCCATTGCTGAATCCAAAAGGTAAGTGGAGAAATTTTGAAAAGGTAACTAAACTGGTTAGAGCGTCTGTCTAGTGTTCAAAGGATCCTGGGTTAGAACCCCTGTCTGGCCGTGCATTTTTTTTACTCCTGTGACATTTGGCGCCCAACAAAATATACCAACGGAAGGTGGTATAGAGTTGCGTGTGTCTTCGGGGTGGAAGACTTTGTTAAAGGAGGGAGGAAAAATGCAAGGCTAAGACCTGGGTTCAAAGCCGGGACCCTCTGAACTTGAGACAGATGCTTTTGAACCAGTTTAGCTACTTGGTCACAGGTAATAGACCCAGTCCAGTTCCGCTGCAATATAAAGATTTATTTGGCCTCATGATTTGTATTTTGAAAAAATTATACCCCAATCTAATATGTCCAGATGCCAGATGGAAACACTCTTTACATGCTTGTGTTTAGTTTAAACAAAATTTATTGAATAATACAAAAAAAAATAGATTTAGGCACAAGGTATCACAACTTATTAATGCCTTTTTCCCCCAATACATAATAACCCAATAGTCTAGCTGTAAATATGATCACACATTTTATGAAAAGGAGAGTAAAAGTGTGTGGGATGTGAAAGTTTAAGATTGCTTGTGTATAAGAGGTAGAAATCTTAAATCCTTGATAGATTTGTTTGACGACTGTTAACGCCACATTAGAACATATTGACTTTGAAAAAGCTTTTGTCAAATTCTTGATGATGATGTAGCCTTGTGTTCCGTAGCATCTTCTTCTAAATGTCAAACCATTTATTGTCTGCTAGGATTTGTTTCAAAATGTGTTTTGCTTTAGTGTCAAAAGTCTGTAATGTGCCCTTAACCCTCCTGTTAGCATTTACATTGTACAAGTGTTTTTTTGTACATATCGGTAAATATTTAAGTGCTTTGTCTTTCTAAGGCTAGGAGAGTTACCTCCCTTTGGACAACTTGTTGGATTGTGATCTGGTCAATGTTAACCAGGATTATCATCAGTGTTTTCTACTAGCTCAGTGAAAATGTTACAACACGATATATAAACCAATCAGCTCTTCAGGATTGAGACCTAAACAAAACATAGGAACAAAGGATTTGTGGGGAGATTAACTCATTCACCCCTGAAATTTTATGATTAGCTGTTCCAACCTTTGAATTGGAAGAGTTCAAATGTGTCTTCAGGGGTGAATGAGTTAAATCCTGTTTGGACTTCACTTTTGCTCCATTACTCTTTATCACTAGAAGTACATCAGCCATGTTACTTATACTAACTGCTAACATGTTTCAAGGTAATACATGGGGACATCTTGGTTGGAGTTGAGTTTAGCACTGTTACTCTATTACTCGAAGGTCATTTGCTATATAACTTACTGCCTTCACCTGTTTCAAGGTAATACATGGGCACTTACTATGTATAATACTGCAATACATTAATGGCGACATTCAAATAAATACTGTAGTATTTCATATTTAGCCAAAGCAAGATGTTTTTTAAGGTACACTAAAAAAAGAAAGAAAAGAATATTGTATGGGGTAAGAGGATAAACTATGTATAATAAAGTATACTTAACCCTTTTACCCCTATGTAACTTTAATAGACTCTACCATACATTGATCTGGATGAGTACATTATGGTCTACAGTGGTGAAAGGGTTAAACGTATTATAGACTTAACAAAATCATGATTTGATAGTTCTTTTTCTCCCACAACTATTGGTTTCTTCACTCCAAACTTGTTGGATCAACCTGGAAGGAGTTGGTAAATATTTGTGGTTACCCGCTAGTGGGTAACACCCTGGGTGTTATTTCCTAAGGCAAACTTCTAATTATCAAGTAACAATGCATTGTCTTCGATGTGATAGTTTATGGCAATTGTTTCCCCGATAGGAAACAGGAAAAATGTATCTTAAGAGAAACATAGGATTTTCTAGGTATAATGATAAACTTGTGATGGTCAATTATCATGTTTATCTAACTTTCTATAATTCAAATTATTGAAGACACTCAGTAAACCGCGTGTATTTATACAATCTGTAAAATTAAATAACTCCAGGTCAATGTAAATGATAACCAACTACCCCTTGTTGGGGGACCTCTGTGTATTTCCTTCCGTGTAAGAGTGAGGAAGGAACACCATGCTTATTACTAAGTATCTCAAGTACTTACTAGTTGTTTCCCACTATACAGAGATTTGTTAGCTTAACGAGTCATTATCTGAAATTTTTCGAATCCCTACAAATACATAAATAATTCGGTGATTTTGCAATCGTTATGTGTTCCTGTATTAAAATCTCTTATTTTATGAATTTCCATACTGGTTCATAATGTTCTATTTGAATTTTTCTTTGGTGATTTAAGTTTCATAAGCATTTCAACAGTTTCAGTACAAATGGTATAATAAAGCTTATCAACAAGTAATGAAATAAATGTTCAAGTTTCATGTAAGTGATATAGACGTGTGTATATATATATATATAGAAACTTAATTATGGAATCAGAATGTTATTTTGAATTCTGATCCTGCAGTCCTTTCCATGGTAAATAAGTAATGAATTTTTATCCTACAAGTTTGGAGAAAGAAAAAATGTATGTGAAACATATGGTCAGTTAAGAGAGGGTGTCGGTGAAGACGGGGGATAACAGTATACATATGGTGGTATAATCAGGTGTCATTTAATAAAGGGGTTAATAGTTAATTAGGATAATAAAATCAATTCAGATCTATATATATAGGAGGTCCTTTAAATGATGTGTTAGCAAAGACTGGCCTTGTCTCTAGAATATTGAATTATTTAGAAAAAAATAAACACTACTAGTTTTGATTACTTGGATGTCTGATTCTAGAGAGCCACATATTAATAACTGAATCAAATCAGCATGATCTCGGTCATGTAATATGGGCTTCACCTTTCTGCTCTCACCACTTTTCCAGAGAGTGCTCTTCCAGATTTGATCAGACCCTAAGTTCTCAAACTAGGGGGAGATAAGCTAACTGTAAAATGCAACTCGAAAATTCTTCAAAAAACATATAGGGGCTGATAGCCTGTCTAGTAAATACTGATTTTGGCAAAAGTCGTGTGTCAGTCAAGTTGTGTGTTGGTAAATTTAGGTGTCAAATCAGTCACATGTCGGTAAATACAGGTGTCAATGAAGGTGTGTGTCAGTAAATACAGGTGTCAATAAAGTCATGTGTTGGTAAATACATGTGTCAGCAAAGTCATGTGTTGATAAAGTCATGTACAGGTAAATACCATGTAGGTAAACTCAGGTGTTAGTGAAGTTATGTCGGTATTCACAGGTGACAAATAGTCATGTCAGTATCAATAATTACAGGGGTTAATAAAGTTAGATTTCATTGCATTATATTACGGTCATGAGCATTTAAAAACAACAGATATAAATTGCATTGAACCTGGTTGACAGTTTCATGTTTCAAGTTTCCTTTTTCAGATAAAGATGTTGTTTGCTGATCTGTCAATAAACAAGCTTCCAGTATATTGTGTTCGGCTTTCTAAAACCTGACACACAGGGATGCTATAGGATTTTGATGGTTTCGTTGAGGAGGAAGGGGGTCACCTTGAGTTCACTTTGTACTTTTAACAGGGATAGCTCCTTTGATGTGACTTTGAAGTTAGTTTTTGATTTAATGTAAATATAAAAAAAAGTCTCCTGTCATAACGGCCACTTAAAGGTGGACATATTTATAGGGGGAATGATGGTCAGAAGTTGGTCACACCTAGCCAGGTGTTTGGAGGAGACCACTCTTGACCACAGGTCAGTGACCTACAGGCAGTATTTTAAACTGACTTGATTTGTTCTCTTGCACTAGTGTATTTAGACAGACTAGATGACTACTTGTTTTCTGTGTATTAATTGACTTGAGCAAGTCTACACTTTGATGTAAGTCTTGTTCAATATCCATAATAAGAAAATAACAACTAGACTGAAAACCAGTCTTCATTCTGTCCATGATAGGCATGGCTGGTTCATGATTGACCAGGCATTGGTGGTTCCTAAGAGGTCAGATTTGGTGGGTATTGTATTGGGTCTCTGGTTGGCCAGATATTCCTCCTTTTTTGAATGAGGAAGTTGGAGTCATGGTCCCTGATTTATGAAGCTCATATAAAGTTAATCATTGATCAATGAGATCTTAATAGTCCCTAATTGGTTACACCTGTTTGGTTCCTGAGTCATGGTCAGTCTAGTTTGGTTCCTGATTGCTTAGTCTAGGATGATTGTTGATTGGTCAGTCAAGATTGATTCCTGATTGGTCAGTTCTGGTTAGTTTCTAATTAATTGTTGCTGGTTGGTTCCTCACTATTTAATCCTGGATGGTACCTGATCGATCAATATTTGTGGGTTTCTAATATATGTCAGTCCCGGTTGGTTTCTTATTGGTCATTAGAACCATTTTAATGGGTTGACATTTCACATATAACCAGAGCTTTTAATGTCACAAGGTGAAGACATACTGTGTAGGAAGATAGTATCGCATTTTAATGTCAAGTGGTAATCTGGTAAATATCATCTCCCAGTATTGGAGATCAACTTCTAAGATGTGAGGAACATAAACTACAGGTGTATGGAAATAGATTTCAAATGTAGAATAGCATTGGTCTGTTTATGGACGTATATATATAAAGTTGCTTCAGTATTTTAAGGTGATATCAACAGTATACTGAATATACTGAATTTCATTTAATTGAAACAAAATGTCCCATTAGAAGAGGGATTTATGGTCTAAAAAATGTTCCATCAGAAAAGAGATTTGTGGTTTGAAATTTACCATATGGTTGATGTTATGCTGCACCTTAGCATTTATCAGGGGTAATATTATCATCTTCTGGTAATAAAACACACCATATGTAAAGAGTATTTATGTGGAGTGTTACGTAATGTTGAGACTGAGAATTCCGCCATTCCGGCACTTTGATGTAATGGCAAAACCTGTTATCTGAAGTTTAGGCAATCGCCTTGCTGAGAAAGAACAAGCCGGGTCTAGGAGCATATATACATC